GATGTAACTCTGTTCACAACAATAGGATTGCTTTCAAATTTTGTATAGTTAATGCCTAAGTATCATACGATAATACCAAATTACTTTTACGTTGGCAGAAAAGTTATAATTTTTATTATTAAATGAACAATCAGACACGACTTAGGATAATTTGAACGATTCGACGAAAAATCTGATATAACTCTGTTCACAACAATAGGATTCCTTTAAAATTTTGTATAGTTAATGCCTAAGTATCATACAATAATATCAAATTACTTTTACGTTGGCAGAAAAGTTATAATTTTTATTATTAAATGAACAATCAGACATGACTTACGATAAATTGACCGATTCGACAAAAAACCTGATGTAACTCTGTTCACAACAATAGGATTGCTTCCTAATTTTGTATAGTTTATGCCTAAGTATCGTAAAATAATACTAAATAGGTTTTACGTTGGCAGAAAAGTTATAATTTTTATTATTAAATGAACAATCAGCCACAACTTAGGATAATTTGAACGATTCGACGAAAAATCTTATATAACTCTGTTCACAACAATAGGATTGCTTTAAAATTTTGTATAGTTAATGCCTAAGTATCATACAATAATATCAAATTACTTTTACGTTGGCAGAAAAGTTATAATTTTTATTATTAAATGAACAATCAGACATGACTTACGATAAATTGACCGATTCGACAAAAAACCTGATGTAACTCTGTTCACAACAATAGGATTGCTTCCTAATTTTGTATAGTTTATGCCTAAGTATCGTAAAATAATACTAAATAGGTTTTACGTTGGCAGAAAAGTTATTATTTTTATTATTAAATGAACAATCAGCCACAACTTAGGATAATTTGAACGATTCGACGAAAAATCTTATATAACTCTGTTCACAACAATAGGATTGCTTTAAAATTTTGTATAGTTAATGCCTAAGTATCATACAATAATATCAAATTACTTTTCGGTTGGCAGAAAAGTTATAATTGTTATTATTAAATGAACAATCAGACATTACTTACGATAAATTGACCGATTCGACAAAAAACCTGATGTAACTCTGTTCCCAACAATAGGATTGCTTTATAATTGTATATAGTTAATCCATAAGTATCATACAATAATACCACATTACTTTTACGTTGGCAGAAAAGTTATAATTTTTATTATTAAATGAACAATCAGACATAACTTACGATAAATTGACCGATTCGACAAAAACCTGATGTAACTCTGTTCACAACAATAGGATTGCTTTCAAATTTTGTATAGTTAATGCCTAAGTATCATACAATAATACCAAATTACTTTTACGTTGGCAGAAAAGTTATAATTTTTATTATTAAATGAACAATCAGACACGACTTAGGATAATTTGAACGATTCGACGAAAAATCTGATATAACTCTGTTCACAACAATAGGATTGCTTTAAAATTTTGTATAGTTAATGCCTAAGTATCATACAATAATATCAAATTACTTTTAACTTGGCAGAAAAGTTATAATTGTTATTATTAAATGAACAATCAGACATTACTTACGATAAATTGACCGATTCGACAAAAAACCTGATGTAACTCTGTTCACAACAATAGGATTGCTTTCAAATTTTGTATAGTTAATGCCTAAGTATCATACAATAATACCAAATTACTTTTACGTTGGCAGAAAAGTTATAATTTTTATTATTAAATGAACAATCAGACACGACTTAGGATAATTTGAACGATTCGACGAAAAATCTGATATAACTCTGTTCACAACAATAGGATTGCTTTAAAATTTTGTATAGTTAATGCCTAAGTATCATACAATAATATCAAATTACTTTTACGTTGGCAGAAAAGTTATAATTTTTATTATTAAATGAACAATCAGACATGACTTACGATAAATTGACCGATTCGACAAAAAACCTGATGTAACTCTGTTCACAACAATAGGATTGCTTCCTAATTTTGTATAGTTTATGCCTAAGTATCGTAAAATAATACTAAATAGGTTTTACGTTGGCAGAAAAGTTATAATTTTTATTATTAAATGAACAATCAGCCACAACTTAGGATAATTTGAACGATTCGACGAAAAATCTTATATAACTCTGTTCACAACAATAGGATTGCTTTCAAATTTTGTATAGTTAATGCCTAAGTATCATACAATAATACCAAATTACTTTTACGTTGGCACAAAAGTTATAATTTTTATTATTAAATGAACAATCAGACACGACTTACGATAAATTGAACGATTCGACGAAAAATCTGATATAACTCTGTTCACAACAATAGGATTGCTTTCAAACTTTGTATAGTTAATGCCTAAGTATCATACAATAATACCAAATTACTTTTACGTTGGCAGAAAAGTTATAATTTTTATTATTAAATGAACAATCAGACATGACTTACGATAAATTGACCGATTCGACGAAAAACCCGATGTAACTCTGTTCACAACAATAGGATTGCTTTCAAATTTTGTATAGTTAATGCCTAAGTATCATACAATAATACCAAATTACTTTTACGTTGGCAGAAAAGTTATAATTTTTATTATTAAATGAACAATCAGACACGACTTACGATAAATTGAACGATTCGACGAAAAATCTGATATAACTCTGTTCACAACAATAGGATTGCTTTAAAATTTTGTATAGTTAATGCCTAAGTATCATACAATAATATCAAATTACTTTTACGTTGGCAGAAAAGTTATAATTTTTATTATTAAATGAACAATCAGACATGACTTACGATAAATTGACCGATTCGACAAAAAACCTGATGTAACTCTGTTCACAACAATAGGATTGCTTCCTAATTTTGTATAGTTTATGCCTAAGTATCGTAAAATAATACTAAATAGGTTTTACGTTGGCAGAAAAGTTATAATTTTTATTATTAAATGAACAATCAGACACGACTTACGATAAATTGAACGATTCGACGAAAAATCTGATATAACTCTGTTCACAACAATAGGATTGCTTTCAAATTTTGTATAGTTAATGCCTAAGTATCATACAATAATACCACATTACTTTTACGTTGGCAGAAAAGCTATAATTTTTATTATTAAATGAACAATCAGACATGACTTACGATAAATTGACCGATTCGACGAAAAACCCGATGTAACTCTGTTCACAACAATAGGATTGCTTCCTAATTTTGTATAGTTCATGCCTACGTATCGTACAATAATACCAAATTACTTTTACGTTGGCAGAAAAGTTATAATTTTTAATATTAAATGAACAATCAGACACGACTTACGATAAATTGAACGATTCGATAAAAAACCTGCTGTAACTCGATTCACAAAAATAGGATTGCTTTATAATTTTGTATAGTTAATGCCTAAGTATCATACAATAATACCAAATTACTTTTACGTTGGCAGAAAAGTTATAATTTTTAGTATTAAATGAATTTGAGGGGCGTGCCATATACTACGCAGGCTAGGTCCGTCGGCTAGCTCCGTCGGCTAGCTTCAGCTTCATAAACGGACACTAAGAACACCCAGACTCGGAACAACAATTTTTGGATCATACAAAGTGTCGTCCCATGTGGGGTTTGAACCCACAACACACGGCGCAGTAGGAAGCGGCGTGGCGACCGCTTAAACCACTACGCCATCCGTGCAGTCATGATTTTAAATAGATTATCATAACTTAAACAAGCGATATTATTTGAATCTTCGTGGAGCACTTAGTGTGACACTAAGCTTGTTTTTTTAGCAAGCCTGAGTGAAGAGGACACTTTTCTGGATTAAATAGTGCTTTCGGTCCTTGGTGTATGTAACATTTTATGGATGAACATCGTAACTGTATCGATTTTTACAAATTATATTGTGAATACGTAAGTATGTATAGTACGCGCCAAATAACTCTGCGTCAGCGAAGTTAGCGCGAATAGCGACGCAAAACACAACTATCATTGGGGTAAATCCTGGTTCTTCGGAAAAAAGAGAGGAGGGGGGTCCGTGGCCGCCGACGCTTTGCACCGCTGCAAGGTCAGCAGTGTATTTCGTTCTAACGCATTAAATGATTTCACAGTTCTGCTTTAACGTACTGTTATGAACATGATTCTTATAGTTGCTGTTAATATTATTTATGTTTTTGGATAATAAACACAAATGTTTTTTGTTTACTTGTTATCTGTGTTGTTTGCGTTTGTTAATAGTGTTGTACTCTATATATGTGTTAATCAAAATACCGACGAACTCCGTATTAAAAAGGCATTGCAGAAAAACAATGTTTAATGTACATCTATACAAATAAATAAATTTGAAGTGTCTGTTTGTTATGTCAAAAAATTAGGTTGTTTTTCATGCTTACACAGTCATTTGCCTTTGATCATTTTTTACATCTATGCCTAAAAACCAGTTTCTTTGTCTATCTGACTGTTTGTTCTAGGTAATCTATATAATCTATATATGTAAGGAGTCACTTAGGCTATTTTCCCTCTCAGTAAAACTCTTTAAAATTTTGCCCGGTCCGGTAATCGAACCCACTAAGGCAGTTCTTTTCAAGTTCCACGCGAAGTCGCGGGTACCAGCTAGTACTAAATAACTATTTATAAGCAGAATCACTACTACTAACTTTTACTACTTATTTGTTTGTAGCTTAATAATTATTAAATTAACGCAAACAGTATATAAAATGTATTTGTATACTAAGTACGTTTGTTTGCGTGGCGTGGCGCGTACTATAGTAATAAGTCAGATAAATATTTGATATCACCTAAAAAGATATATTTTATTAGTCAACTGTTGTGTCACTGCTGGCAACAGTGACAGTCAAATAAAACATAATAAAATAAAGAATTTCAATACTTGAGGTAAAGCGATTGCTTCGTAAAATCATATCATCCAGAGCACCTCTAGCTCAATGGTATGCTTTCTTTTTTGGAAGACAGTTATATCAGTCTGGGCCGCAACTTTGCAGTACACTGGTTAGCTCTATCACAATACACAACATGGAGAAAACAACACTTACGATGCTGGATCAAACATGTTATTCAGCATGAAACATTGCGTCGCAATCGGCGGTGCTACTTGTGGCTGTGGCGTTACTAGCGCAGATCCAGCTCCCATCAAAACCGATGCTGCTGCAGGCGGTATCTGTAGAACAGGTTGAAAACGTATTTATTTGAAGGTACACGGGCTAGCGAGCAAACGGGTCATCTGATGGGCACCTGCAAATTAAGTCACTAATGCTTTGCCGCCTATTGAGTCCCCCTCCCAAATCGAAGTAATGGGGATTGGGGCCTCCAGTAAACTTTGAATATACTCAATATTTAAACAGTTTTGCTCTGCACAGATCCAAAGTTGGTTGTGTCGTTATGATTGACTTTGATTTAGTATTAATACTATTTCTTACTGAATGAACAGCGTAACATACTAATTGATACGTTACGAATCGATTGGTGGCATAAAACAAGTGTTATTTGGCTCCCTTGCCCAGCCCGTGCCGCGGCATGTCACGGTATGAATGTATCCAAAATAAAGTAATATAAATGTTAAACTCATTGAAATAAGAATAAAAATAACTTGAGTGGCGCGATGTCAGTCAGCGCAGTCCCTAGAGGATTGCCTAAAACTGGCTTTCCATTAGGCCATGATGTCACTCCAGTCGAGCCAGTCCCCATCTACAAATGAGTCGAGTTTCGACCCATATAAACATATGGGCCGAAACTCGACTCATTTGTAGATTAACGCGATCGATAGGGTATTTTATTATATTCGCAAATTGTTCATAAAACAGATTCAAACATTTTTAACCGACTTCAAAAAGGAGGAGGTTCTCAATTCGATTGGTATTTTTTTTTATGTATGTACACCGATTACTCTGAGATTTATGATCCGATTAACGTGATTCTTCTTTAGTTTGATGCGGAATAGTTGCCATTTGGTCCCATAAAAATTGAACATAGTTAGGCCCAGTAGTTTTCATTTTATGAACATTTTTAATGAATATTATTGTTTACATGATATAATTTTAGTTTTTGTACCGCCTTTTTAGGAGTTTTCATTTAAGTTGATTATATATTATTTTATGAACATTTTTAATGAATATTATTGTTTCCTTGGACGATATAATTTTAGTTTGTGTACGGCCTTTTTAGGAGTTTTCATTTAAATTGATTATATATTACTATTAACCCGTGTCCCGATAAGTGGGTCTTAGGCTACCTGTCATTGAAGCGGAGCGAGCTTGCGGTGCTTGAGTAGAGAAATTGAGAAATATTATAACCAATACGATTGCATATAAAATCTCGGAAGGAAGAAATAAATAAAAAGGAACTTTTAAAAATTAGTAAAAAAAATAATCTAGATTTAACTGTCTTAATCGTTGCATTTCCTGTAGTGCTTTGTCATCGTGTGGTTTGTGTAATAATTTAGATGGTTCTAGTCTATGAGAGAGGAGAAGAAGAAGTCTATGAGCCCTCTGCTCAGCAGACTCGTTGGCTAGACAGTCATAAATAAGGCCTAACCTATGCGCTTGCTGTTCAGACGTCTCTTTGGCAAGACGTTCTTGAATCTTAGCGAGTCTAGACTCATACTGTTCAAGAGTTTCTTGACGTGAACGTAATTTTATATAATTTTTCATAGCTAAAAAACGTTCTTGACGATCTATCTCTGTCTCACAAGAACGTGAAATAGAGTTTCAAACAACATTTTTTCGGAGTCGATTCCTTTTTCCGTTCCCGTTTCTTGGGATCTATATTGTTTAAGGCGCGCTGCACCTTTCGTAGGCGTATAAATATAATAAAATACTATTGTTTGTATGTGCTATCTATTGATAGGTTTCAATTATATTATAATTAAACCTATACTACTACTACTTATACTTTTTAGTTTTTGAAGTCGGTTTTTTTTAAACGTAGTTTTTTTTATATTATATATTTGCAACCTTTTTGGCGTGCCAAAATAAAACCGATTTTCGAATTGCGACACCTGTGGGAGGTGAACTAAATTAATTTATTATTAATTAGAACCCCAATAAGTAATCAAAACAATATAAACCATACCTGCAGCCCTGTGCCTTCTGCTAGTTTGAACATAAGCTGCAATCTGCCTGTAGCCCCGAGGTCTATACCAGCTCGATCTAACTCATCTGCATCAAAGCGTGTACTAGACCCACCATCAGTTCGCTCTGTTACATTGCCAACCTTCATAGGACGTCCTGCTAGTTCAAATCCATTTAACTGCTCCATAGCTTTTTTGGCGTCAGGAGCGTGGTGAAACTATAATGTAAAAAAAAAGAATCATCAAAATCGGTTCACCTAGTCAAAAGTTCTGAGGTAACAAACATAAAATAAAAAAATACAGTCGAATTGATAACCTCCTCCTTTTTTTAAGTTGGTTAATAAATTACTTGCAGTTACAACAAGTAACATACCTATTGTTTAATTAAAATGTGAATTGAACTTGGTTAAAATCTAAAAAGAAAATACTTGATTGCCTTACCGTTAGAAACCCATATCCTTTACTTTTTCCCGTTTCAGGATCTGTCATTAGTTGAATATGATCTATTTTTCCAAAAGGTTCGAATATTCCGCGTAACATGTCTTCCGTAATATTAAAGTGCAGAGAGCCAACATACAGCCTGGTTGGTCCATTGCTGGTCTTTGGTGCTAAGTTAGGCAATGTATTTCCAACTCTGTTTTTTTCTGCCTGAGTATGTTGTACTATAATAGGAACACCAAGCAATTTTTGTCCAGTCAGACCAAGTGCCTGTAAAACACATTAATAGATATGTTAACCAAAGCAACAATATATTTAATATAATCTGAGCAACATAGAAACAAAAAAAAGTCTTACCAAGGGCACGGATTCTGCATCCTTAAATTCAATATATGCTATGCCTTTAAATCTCCTAGTTTTATTACATGTTATTAGTCTTACATCTCTAACTTTACCAACAGATGAAAAAAACTCTTCAAGATCTTTTGCACGGATACGTTGAGATAATTGCATACAGAATACAGTTCGAAGATCCCTTTCTTCAGGAGGTAACTCATCTAATTTGACGTCAAGTCCTCTTGATTTTGAACGCTGTTCTTTGGCTGGATCTCTTTCATTGCTCTTTTCTTTTTTAACGGCGCTTCGATCTCGGCTATGACGATCTCGTTCCCGACTTCGTTCTTTATCTTTACTGCGTCTTTTCTCTTTGTCACGTTCGCGTTCCCTGTCTTTCTCGCGATCTTTTTCCTTGTGGCCACGTTCACGATCTCTGTCTTTATCTTTTTCTTTATCCTTATCCCTATCACGCTCACGATCACCACGGTCACGATCACGGTCTCTGTCACGTTCACGATCGCGATCGCGGTCACGATCACGATCGCGATCCTTATCCCTTTCTTTACGTTCTTCTCTTCCACGATCCCTATCTTTTCGATCATCTCTGTCTTTTGAACGACGAGAATCCCTTTCTTTTGATCTTCTTCTATCTCTTGATCTGCTCCGTCTACAAAGGTTACATAAGGTTATTTTACTTTTCCTAATCTGTGAGTGTTTATGATTCACTATACAGTTTAACAATTATAGAATCTATTAAAATTAGCGAGTAGTAATTAATTATACGTAAATATATTATATGAAGTGAAACATGTTAAGGATAGTTGCAAAATGACAATTTTTTTGTATGTTTCATAGAATTGTGGGTAGGTTATACAAGGTATGTTAGAACTTACCTTCGGCTGCCATCTCGATCTTTTTCTTTGTGCTTATCAGAATACTTGTCCGATCGATGCTTTGAAGAGGTAGTGTTATCCTGTCACACAAAGCACAAGGTAGAAGCAGCGCCACAGCAACACACGCCGAGTGAATAAATAAAAATTGCATTAGTTAATTCATAACAACAACATGGAGAACATTTGACGTATTTCGACAATGACATTCAGTTATCAATGTCATTGATGAAATCACACAAATGTTGACGGTTTTACTTCGCCTAGGCTACTGAAGGCAGCTGGTCTAATAACCAGCCAATGTTCATCCATGTCATGGTAGTCGCGTTGCCCTGGTCTACACTTACCGTTCACAAAACCACTGACAAAGATGCACACAGCGCTAACATCACACAGGGATACTTCTGCAAAAGATTTATGACCCATCAGCGCATGGTCTTGTTGAAAATAACTTTCTATGAAAATTTTGATTTGGCAATTATAAGTGGTATAATTAAAATGTTAGGATGTGTTCAATTTTAAAATAATAAAAAATTAGGTAAGTATAGTAGTGGATACCTCTCTGTGTGTTCAGGTCGGTGAAGTATGCTCGACTACCATTACCACAAAGTTCTATAAATACAAGAAATGATTCTCAAATGTAATTTTGTTTTATATTTCTTTCCACTATTCAGAGATGTAATAGACTAATTGAGTACATATTTTTAGTATTTATAATAACTATTAGTTTATAACATCTTTGAACAGGGAGCCTAAAATCCTAACTCCTGCAGATTTCTGACTAATTGTTAATAGTTAAAATACAATTCATAATTATTGTTACATTTTTGTTTCATAAACTCACAAAATATTTTCATAATGCGAAAAACTCTCTTAAAACTTATATTTCAATAATCTTTTAAGTTCTGGAAAACTATATTGATTTTGTAACTATTAAAATGGAAAAATGTTTGGTTTAAAAGATTCAGAATTATCGGCAATAATGCTACCACACAAAATGTATGTTCATTATAACTACTGGGATGGATATAGCACCTATTTGCAATGAGGTTAATAAAATTGAGTAGAAAAGAAGATTAAAGTTTTAAATTGTAAAATGTAATATATCCATAGAAATCATTCACTTATTTTTATTTTAAATTAAACCAATGGGACTTACCGATTTAATGTAAGGTGCTTCTAGCATAGCTTCTACATCCAAATCTTCCGCCATTCTGCAATGATGGATTAAAATAAACAATTAGACATATAACAAATGTAATAGGTCTTTACCTATGAAATTGCCGTTTTGTATGCAATAAGTGAAAGTACTTATTTTTTCAAACTTTTTTATTTCTGTTATTCGAAGTAATCACCCATGCAATCGACGCATCTTCGCCAACGCATTGCCAGTTTATTGATGCCCTTCTTATAAAAATCAGCTGGACGGGAGGCAACAAACTCTTCAAAGGCATTTTGTACTGCCTCTCGGGAATTGAATTTTTTACCCACTAAAAAGTTGTCTAAATTTTGGAAAAAGTAATAGTCGGTAGGTGCAAGGTCTGGTGGTCACATCTGCAACCAGCTTTGGTCAATCGGTCGTCCCCACTGCTCCTTCACGACAACGCGCGACCCCATACTGCGCAACAGACAGTCTCCAAGCTGCAAGAGCTGGGGTTGGAAGCTCTCCCTCATCCGCCATACTCACCAGACCTTGCATCTACAGACTATTACTTTTTCCAAAATTTAGACAACTTTTTAACATTAAAAAATGGCATGTATCAGGATCACAAAGGTCACCTATAACTATTGTGTAGTGTTAGGATAAGAACACATGGCATTTTTCAAACATTCATATTTATTGTCCGTGTGGTGACAGATTAAGAATACAGAGTGTCACCACCCCTATTCATCCCGTGGGTGTCGTAAGAGCAGACTAAGGGAGCTAACGCAGGACAACCAGCACTGCAAAGAGAATGAAAACTTGACACAAACCCTATACCAACCCGTCTGGCCAGCGTGGTATAGTAGGCCAAAACCTCCTTTCTAAGGAGAGGCCTATGTCCAGCAGTGGACTATTAAAGGCTGTTGATGATGATGTGTGATTTGCTGTTTTAATTTATGGCTAACTGTTATCCAATATGGTTGCTGCAATCACTGTATGCACCAACATATTGGACAACAGACTGCAGAACACACACATTTTAAAAATGTGAAGATTACTTGATGGTGGAATTTCAAGCATAGCTCATTAACCCATAAGGTATTGGTGCTTAACCATCAATCATTTCATAAAGCTTATTCTGCCCACAAAATCTGCTAAAAAGAACTTAGAATTCTTTTCATGAATACATATATTTTTTTTAAAAATGTTTTCATTTCAATCCAAAAATATTTTGACTAAAGTTTTAAATGTAAGTACTTAAATGTACACTTGGATAGGATACTTCGACATAGAGACGATTGGAAAGGCATATTTTATCAACCTGGTGGTATTAGATGATATTGATTTATATATACCGTTGGAATCAGAATGAGCTCTTGCAAATGGCTGTGGTTTTAGCTTGATCTGATTTTTATGGTTGTAAATATGCCAGTGATTATAAAGTTTTTTTTTGTGTTTGACTCCATGGTAAATGGTGCATTAAAACACCTCTCACTTAAAAATATTACCTTATATTACTTTGCTTGTCCTTGACTTTAAGTAACTTTAAATGTTAAACCAATATACCAAATTTTATTTTATCATTTTTGTAATTGATACCCAACCAAAAGCCATTTCATCATCAATGGAGTTAAAACATTTACTCCAGTATTTTTCTAGTGTTAAATATATTTTTTGGGGCTTAAATTATAGTTAAGTGGATTGCTAAGCCACTTGTGCCTTTATGTTGTGAGTACAATGATGTATTTACAACTGTTTTTCCAGGTTCAGGTAACTAAAAGGGATACATAAAAGTTTTTACCGTGGTCTGATCATTACTGGATTTGTTTTTAAGTCATTTTACTCAACAGCAATATCACATACAACACAATACTTGAAAATAATAAAAAAATATTTTGGAGATATAAACTAATTTTATCTATCTGAGAATTTAGGGTATTTTGTATTAACTCCATAAATTTATACTAATTTATGAGACACACTATTTTTAATTAAATATATGCAATTGTAATAAATTTTAAAATTTCATAAAGATATCTACTCTAAAAGATTCTATACTTTAAAAGTTATGACGTTTTTAAAACTTTAATCGTCTCTTGTGAATATTTTACTAAATGGCGGTTAATATATTACATTTTGCCTTTCCCTCATCGGTATGTATGGCTTAGCTGTATGTTTTGTTGTTCATTCGAGTTTGGGATAGGTACGCAGAGTATTGTACTCTAATCAGCTGTAGCCAACGAAACAGAGCTCCGAGGACATGAATAAGGTGGAAGCTCAGTAGCGGTAAGAAAATACGATTTTACACTAAGCTGCTCCTCAGCTATGTGTAATAGGAAATCCTAATAACATTTGGCAAATTCTGGATTTTTAACGTAGTTAAAATTAATAGGTAATCAACGTGGCAATAAAACTTTATAAAGCCGGCCTAAATTCTATAATTAATAATCTTCAACATGTATCGGCACTCCCAATAATTCGTGTTGAGGTTAATGTGAACACAAACATCTTATCGTAACGATGTGACTGTCATTACCTTTAAGTAGTACTTTTTCACATAATTCCGTTTCAAATCCTGATTGCATATAAGTACGGGAACGGACATTTACGATAATGGTAAATTTGATAAATTCTATATTACGACAAAATGGCGTCAGCAATATGGCTTGCTGGTTTCTATGCGGCATGCTTTTTATTGTTATAAAACCAAGGATTATTTTTATAAAAATATATGCATACCTCAAAGACAGAATAACAAATGCGAGTAAAATAGTCTTAGTGATTTCTGATCAATCCAAAATTCTTAATATGGAAACCCATCACTCATCAGTATACTCCAGAACTGTTGAGAACTATGAAGTGTGAACAAATTTAGAAATTTTTATCGGTGTTGCCAGTGGCTAGGTGTCATTTGATTTCTATCTGTCCCTAGACTCTACAGGTAATGAATAATCGACTTGTGTCTATGACAGACGTGGATAGATTGCATTGATTTTGGCAATAAACAATATACATTGGTATGTTATGGTAATGGTGGAGTAGAGTAGGTAATTTTAAACCAATATAAACGAAATAAGTATCAGGAGCGCACTAGGCAAGCATTTCACCAGCACCTCCCATACCTCCCTAGCGCCCATACTATGCTATAAATAGATAGGCTGTTCCAAAAACTGTTAGTAAAATAAAAAATATTTGAAATGCAAAAAAAGTTGAAATGTCAATAGTTAGAATGTTAAAACATATTATGAACTATCGAAACATTACAACTTTTGAACAACTTTCGAAACATTAAAATATTATATCCAGTAGGAGGTTAAAAAATAACCTCCAAAATTCTTCGACAGCTTCTTCTGTACTTAGTGTTATATTTTTCTTCCCTTAAAAAATAAAAAAAACACAACACACACATCACTCATAATTATTTTCGGAGTATTTTCGAACATGTAAAGGATAACCATAGTCTTGGCTGGGAAAAGAGCCCAGGGTATACACAACTCATATCCTGGTCATGTAATCGGAAGACATCAGACCAAGAAGATATGCACATCATCAATAACCTCTACTAGTTCACTGCTGGACATAGGCTTCTCCTTAGAAAGGAGGTTTTAGCCTACTATACTACGCTGGCCAGACGGGTTGGTATAGGAATTGTTTCAAGTTTTCCTTCTCTTTGCAGTGTTGTTGTCCTGCGTAGTTTAGTCCTTTAGTCGACTCTTACGACACCCACGGAAAAAATTGGGGTGGTGACACTCTATATTTTTAATCACCACCACAGATTAGTATAATGTAGCAAGCTACAGATGTGACAGCACAATTTGCTTAGTTCCTTGTTCAATAGTCTTGGCGCTGTAGTCGCATAAAATACGTAACAAAATGACATTTCATGTATGGCACACAAATAAAGGACCGTAGTGCTTAAAGCACATTCAAAATACCGATATCGATAAAAATTAGTGATGTGGCTTAGCCGGCCAGATTGTACAGGATTCTTACCTATGGTTTTTTAATATTATTTTCATTTATGAATATAAATAAAACAACACATTTAATTAAAATTTATTTGAGTATTTTTCGTTTTATTCTATGGCTTTTAAATTTTTTCAGCAATTGTTGCTGCATATTTGGCATTTTCATAACGTACTTTTCTTCGATTTTTCCATTTAAAATCTTATTGGCTATATTGCACCAATTGTGGCATTGCAGGCGGTTGACTAATGATGCATAAAAGTTTATGACATCTAAAGAATGGATTTCACAACCTAACCAAGATATGTCACATTTATTGATATTATGTATAATTTTTTTTTTAATGTGATTTTTATACCCATGTTCGTTAAGGTAATTGTGTATTGATTGCGAATTTTCTCTATATAGTCGAAGAATTTTCTCATTTGGATAGGCCAAATTATTATTTTGTAGTCTTTTGTATTCTCTATAACTTATATATAAATGAATACCCTGGATTTCTTTAGAAATATACGTTTTTGCACATGCATTACAATTAAATTTTTTCGATATTTTTCGACATATGTATCCAGCGGTATAAGCCGATATTTGAACCCTCACTTTCTCATGTACAGTTTTATCTAATTCAGTGGCCTCTGACTCCAAAGGCCACTTTGAAGATGATGGTGCAAATAAAGGGTCGACTAATGAAATATTGTCCTGATTTTCATTTTGGGACTTAAAAAGATAATTTAAATCTATCAGTGTGTCGCCATCATCTTCTTCACAATTTGAAAATTTTGAGTGAGGGCTTAATATATTTGATATGACGAGCGATTTGAATGAGAACATGAATGTATTAGCATCGGGATTGTTATTCCGATAATTCATGGCTCTTATGCGACCAAAGAAATTTTCCAGGGGATCCTGGTTTAAAAACCTGGGATAAAAGTATTCTACCCCATATTCAGAGAATAATAATTTTGTTAATCCAAGAAAACTCTTCAATGTAATTATCCATCCTTCTAGGGATGGTACGCGCACATATCTAGGTTTACCAGCCTGTATTGCCAATTTACTCTTGGTGTCAATATATTTTATATTTTTTAATATTGTAATGGATTTTTGCCAAAATGCTTTATGTGGTGAAGTGGGCTTGACGGCACAGCGTAATTTGCCTTTAGTTCCACCTGGAGATCCGTTGACACTGTCAAACAGGTCATCAAAAAATGTGACCACTGCTGCAGTAGCTTCCATTGTTGGTAATGGATTGTTGAGCCGCTTATCTGAAATATTATTATGATTACTCTGAGATATAATACCTTTTCAGAAACTTTATGTTGTTAAATTACAATTAGTTTTTAAATTTCAAGACATAAAATATATGACAGAATTAAAATATAGAAAAACTAATTTTTATAAATCGGTATTGTACACAAATTAAAAAAATTGTTATTTTTTTAAATAAAAATGATGATATAGAAGATACTACTTACGAAGAGCATCGGTATAATTAAGCAATGCAGCTGTACGTGCACTGAGCACTTGGGTGGCTGTTTTCACTTTCATTTTATTTTTTGGTGCAACATGATGAGAAGTTATCTTGGGTAACGCTCTTGTGTGACCCGACTTGCTGTCCAAGTCATAAATATATAAAATATCCTCCCATGATGCTCGTTTTTGCTCAAACAGAATATCTTTTGTTAAAAAGTTATTCCGGATACTTTTTAGAAGATGTGGAGGGTCGTGTAACAAAAATAAGTCTTGTCCTGCTATACGAATTCTTCCATCTGAAACAAGATTTAGAAATAATATTTTAGACTGTTTTGCCATATAGGTACATAATAAAAAACCAGAAATGTTTTGACATTTCATTTCTAACTGAAAAATAAAGGCAAAATAATCTGAAAACATTTCAGAGAAACATTTACACTTAAACTATAAAATGTAATATGGCTCAGCGTCGATAATAAGTCATTATACAAATAGCTATTTTGATATAGGCTGCCAAACATAACAGAATCCGATTTCTTACTGAATAATTTAAAAACTAATTGATGGTATTAAAATTAAAGCCTTAATAAATGGTCTGTAAAATGTATTTTATTTTCTAAAATCGGAGGTATAGATTTACGCATTCAAACAAACAAACAAACTTTTCAGCCCCATTATATTAGTATTTAGAGAAGAAGTCTTACCATTTTCTCTTCCTTGACTGCTATAAAGTCTAGCAGTTGCATCTGTTAGCATTTTAAAGCAGGACCGGAATGTAGAGCCTTGATCGCAAATCAGCGCCAATGGCTTGAGACCAGTTGCTGACAGCATAGGTATTATGGCATTTAAAATGCTTATCAATTTTGTTGAAGAAATTGTTCCTTCACAAAAATAATATGCTACACTTTGTCGCCACGAAGAGCATATGCCTCTGATCATCACCACCAGTGCATGGTCTGCGAGTTTTGGGATTCTCTCTCCTGCTATCTCTACAAATCCAATGATTTTATCTCTGCTTTCATCGTATGTGAGATGAGGTGTTAGAGCCACCTCATCAAATACTACAGAGCAAAGTCTTTTCTTTATATCCCAGTTTTGCACAGTTGCTTTGATATAATCAAAAATATTTTTATTTATTCCACATTCGAAAGTAATTTTATTTGAGAGACGAGCAAGTGTCCTCTTATTTGGCAAGGCAAACATCTTCTCTAATAATTTGTATCCTTTCGGACTTTGCTTCATTAGAGCCAAGCCAAATAACTTATCTTCTAACGTAAACCTTCTCGCCATTTTGTTTCTCGTTGCAAGTTTTAATTGCATGAACAAGAATGCTTTGGCTTTCTTGTCCAATTTTTCGAAGTTTGATAGAAGCGCCAAATTTTCTTCTTGTTTCTGTGCACATTGAGTATTTGAAGCAATTTTAGTGCATTGCCTTATATAGCGCCGAGTTTTAGAATTTAACGGCACTCTACTTTTTCCTGAAATTATACAAAAATATATTATTATTTAGTATTACAATAACAATAACACAAAAAAACAAAGGAAAGACATGAGCTCGTATGTTTTGTTTTTCTAATGCCCTTTAAGTTCAAATTAGCTGCACCCAGCGGTGTTACCCGCGGTTGGTGGTACTTTGCTCATCCTATGGGAACACTATTTTTTCGTTATAAAAGTATCCTATGTATATATATATATATATATATATATTAACTTAATATACATCCAAACAAACTCGCCTTTATAATATTAGTAAGATTTGTTCAAGCATTAAGAAGTTACAGTGGGATCGTATGGGATTATAATTATCTTACTAGAGATGTCACTAGTAAGATAATTATAATTGCCATAGTACAATTGTGTTGTACAATTTTTCTTTTCTTTTAATAGACAACTGCCGCACTAGGAATAAATCCTATGTCGCTGGGGACTTTACAAACATACATGAAACGGACACAGAAAACACTCAGACTCAGAACAACAATTTGTGAATCACACATAATGTTGTCCCATATGGGGATTAAACCTACAACACTCACCGCAGTAGAAAGCGGCGAAGTGATCGATTAAACCACTACACCATCCGTGCAGTCTACTATCTTACTAGACCTCATATCCCTAGGGAAATATTCATATAATGGCTGTAATTATCTTATCTATCTATCTGCGATATACACATACATACATACATGAACCATAAAAACATTGCACTTTTTACGGCAGTCATGTAAAATATAAGTTTAATTTTAGGTAATATCTTACTTGAAGTGGATTTCTGCTTAGATTTGTAGATCTTGTCTTTATCAGAAACAGGTTTCACTGCTGAAATGAAAACATTTGATTATTAGTTTTCTTTACTTATCCTGCCGAGTTGCTTGCTAATTTACTCGAATGTACATGAACATAAAGAGATATGACAAAATGCGAATCAGGAAATATTTATTCATTTAGGTCACAAATATTAAAATTCAAAGTCAATAATTATATTATGATCATGAATTCAATTTAGGAATTTATGGCTTAACTACAACTTTAAATAGGCTAGTCTTATATGTAAAATAAACATAAATAACTGCTAAATTGACAAAATAGGCGATAGCAAATATGTTAATTCTCTAATAATCACAAATAATATGTATATACTATATATAGATAATATTCCTATGTTATAAGAATGTGTCAATGAGAAAAATGGCTACAAGTCTAAGTATTACAATAGGAACACAAAGTCTTTGTCATTGATAAATGTACGATACCTGAACCCAGCGCATTAGTCTTTGATTCTTCCTGTTCACATTCAGCAACTTCAAAAGTTATGTCCCCCGATATATCTCCTAAAAAAAAGATATCGATATAATTTTTCTGATTTATGAAATGACCTAATAAAATAGAGAAACAACTTGTCTGAGCAAAGATGCAACTACATTTTGCTGTTATCACAGAGTTTTATCATATTGTTACAATAATAATGTACATGATATTCCTCATATTAAATATGATACAGACGAACATCAGTTTGAATAAAAATAGCTATCTTTAAAATAAAAATGAGACTTCGTGACAGTCTGATGAGGGCTATTACAGGTGCATATTATCAATAAAATATAATAAAACAATTCAAACCAGAGAGCAAACTTAAGAATGAAAAATTTATCATTACTAACCTTGATTCTCCAAATGTGAAGTGAATACAGAATTGCTTGTTGAAGGAAGTGAATACTGGTGCTCTTGGAAGATATCACCTGTAATAAATTTTTCACTATGTAGTTAACATAAATTAAAAATATTTTTTCTTTTGAAAATTCATACTCAAATAACACAAACGCAACACAATAATAAAGACTGCTAATTATTGTGCCAGACAAAAATAAAGTGTAAGTATAAATACCTTTAATGGTTATTAGTCCTCCAACTGAATCATCATCATCCGGTCGCTGACAGTAAATATGGTCATCTAAGACACTACACCCTGTAAAAAAATATTTTTTGATAATATTTAGTTATTAGCTATACTTATTAAATATTTTTCAAATGTATTTTTTTGAACATATCCAAATGAATTCAATGTAGGTATTTATTTAGTAGCAGATATGTTTTTTTTATGTTAGACGAACACACTAATTCCATTTTTCAACAAACAAACGAAGGTAACTTGACTGTATGAAATTATATCAGAACTCACTTAATGATTCGTGAAAGCCTATTAGCTTCATGCATTAAGTTGTAACATTGACACATGAACAAGAAGCTCTATGTAACAATATTATAGTAGTAAGCACTTACCCTTCGCAAGTGGTACGCCATGGGCTATCTCATTTTCTGTCAGCAAACAAGGGTATGAATAACGTATTCTAACACCAGCCGGATCAAATTGTGTTTCATCAAAATGTCTTTCACAAACACGTTTTGCCATAAGCTGGTTTTTAGTAAGTCCAAGTAGGCTGGGGTTTGTAGGCACTAACAATGACATCCAGAAATTACGTAAATGATCATTCATGGGCATGCAAAATAGTCTGTGAGTGTTACTTGTTGAAGCACAACCCCCAACACAACACTTGTATAGCGACATGGCGAGAATGGATGAAACAAATATCACCAAATCCGATACGAAGAATTAAACAGAGTAGTTTCAAGTATCTCAACTCAACGGGAAGACCGGAGGAAAACACAATTGATAACGGCTATCAGTTTAAAACTTCTAAAGACTTGACGTGAAGTCAACGATGACAGTTTTGATAGTCAATGATATACACACACTTACGCAAGTTTTCGACGTCACACAAAATGGCGAAATACGACGCTACAGTAGCGCCACAACCATCGTGCTGGAACTAAAGCTGTCAGCCCCCTGGTCAAGTCTTTAGAAGTTTTAAACTGATAGCCGTTATCAATTGTGTTTTCCTCCGGTCTTCCCGTTGAGTTGAGATACTTGAAACTACTCTGTTTAATTCTTCGTATCGGATTTGGTGATATTTGTTTCATCCATTCTCGCCATGTCGCTATACAAGTGTTGTGTTGGGGGTTGTGCTTCAACAAGTAACACTCACAGACTATTTTGCATGCCCATGAATGATCATTTACGTAATTTCTGGATGTCATTGTTAGTGCCTACAAACCCCAGCCTACTTGGACTTACTAAAAACCAGCTTATGGCAAAACGTGTTTGTGAAAGACATTTTGATGAAACACAATTTGATCCGGCTGGTGTTAGAATACGTTATTCATACCCTTGTTTGCTGACAGAAAATGAGATAGCCCATGGCGTACCACTTGCGAAGGGTAAGTGCTTACTACTATAATATTGTTACATAGAGCTTCTTGTTCATGTGTCAATGTTACAACTTAATGCATGAAGCTAATAGGCTTTCACGAATCATTAAGTGAGTTCTGATATAATTTCATACAGTCAAGTTACCTTCGTTTGTTTGTTGAAAAATGGAATTAGTGTGTTCGTCTAACATAAAAAAAACATATCTGCTACTAAATAAATACCTACATTGAATTCATTTGGATATGTTCAAAAAAATACATTTGAAAAATATTTAATAAGTATAGCTAATAACTAAATATTATCAAAAAATATTTTTTTACAGGGTGTAGTGTCTTAGATGACCATATTTACTGTCAGCGACCGGATGATGATGATTCAGTTGGAGGACTAATAACCATTAAAGGTATTTATACTTACACTTTATTTTTGTCTGGCACAATAATTAGCAGTCTTTATTATTGTGTTGCGTTTGTGTTATTTGAGTATGAATTTTCAAAAGAAAAAATATTTTTAATTTATGTTAACTACATAGTGAAAAATTTATTACAGGTGATATCTTCCAAGAGCACCAGTATTCACTTCCTTCAACAAGCAATTCTGTATTCACTTCACATTTGGAGAATCAAGGTTAGTAATGATAAAATTTTTCATTCTTAAGTTTGCTCTCTGGTTTGAATTGTTTTATTATATTTTATTGATAATATGCACCTGTAATAGCCCTCATCAGACTGTCACGAAGTCTCATTTTTATTTTAAAGATAGCTATTTTTATTCAAACTGATGTTCGTCTGTATCATATTTAATATGAGGAATATCATGTACATTATTATTGTAACAATATGATAAAACTCTGTGATAACAGCAAAATGTAGTTGCATCTTTGCTCAGACAAGTTGTTTCTCTATTTTATTAGGTCATTTCATAAATCAGAAAAATTATATCGATATCTTTTTTTTAGGAGATATATCGGGGGACATAACTTTTGAAG